AAATAATACGGAAATGCAAATTAACTTTAATAAACATGCTTTATTTACAATGTCGATTTAGCTCGCTGTTTTTCTTTTAGTAGCCGATCAATAATGTCCTGATTTGTAGTCGTAGAGTATATTTGATGAGTCGGGGTCCTTGGCCTATCATCCCTGTGGCTATTTTCATCATTACTAGACCTTGCACCTATTCCTATTGACTCTGAATATTGTGAACTTGAGGCGATTGGATTACCAGTATCGATCATTTCCGCATTTCCTTCATCTGTGATCTTGACCTGCTCACGATACAAGAAACAGAAAATTTTTTGAGAAATTCATTTGAACTAGCCATTATCGTTGTAAGGTTGCATTCTATACCTTCTTTTTAAGAGATAACTTTTTTTTCCGTTTGGTTGGAGAAGTTTTGGGAGGTAGAAAATCAACATCGGACTAAATACAAAATAAAGAGTTAAATTACTTTTATCAGGCTGCCACACTTTGTCAATTCTAGAAAATCACGCATCTGCACCTACGTTAAAACGCAGTTTTTTCCGTATCTCTGAATTTAACTCATCAACAAGTTCGAGATTTTGTTGCTGACGAGAGACATGAACCAACTCCAGCCCGTCTATTTGTGATTTACGCTTGACAATTATCTTGGGGGATAACAAATGTGAGTATGTATTTGACACCATTAACAATCCTATTCAAAATGCATGATATTCACCTTTTTGTTTTCGAACTCATTCTCTAGATTTCTCTCTAGTTCGACAATTTTCCAAATTTTTTGCGTTTCAGGTTCCTTCTAAAAACAGCTAAGAGGTTAGTAATTTTCAATATGACGAGATTTGAACTGTTGTCACAGAGGAACGCGCAAGGAACTCGCAAGGAACGCGTAAAAAACGCAAGGAACTCGCAAGGAACGCGTAAAAACGCGCAAGGAACTCGCAAGGAACGGCACCCGACGTGCACTCGACGTGCACCCCCGCAACAGACGAACGAAACGCGAGGAAAAACACCCACCGCGAGAAGGAATCAAAGAGGAACGGAACCCCTACAATACCCGCTGTTGGTTGCGAAACGCCGTCTTTGACAGTTCAGAAAATTACAGAAGGTGACATACCTGCCGCAAAAGAAGAGTTACAAATTCATAATGTTCTTCATTATGTCCGTTTTGCAAACCTTGTTTCTCTTTTACATCCAGAAAGTTCTTTAAACAAGCTAAATATCGCTTCCTCATTATTGAATTTAGGTTCTCAATCGAATTTAGATCAGATATGAAGTAAGGTTTCAAAGCATTTAAAAAACCATGATATGACCACTCCAAAACGGGTGTATTATTGAAGTATGAGTTGATATCTAGAACTAAAGACATTTGTTTTGGGAAGAGTAAAGCAAACTAAAGTAAAAGGTCCATTTTTTTAAGTGTGTTTATACAAATTTTTGAGTGTAACACAACATTATGATCGATTTTTAGACCGGATCTTTTAGTTCGATCGAAATTATTTCATGAGGTAATAACATGAACAGAAATAGATTCATGTATTAATAAGGTACTATAAACGCTCAACCGAACCATTGAATGAATAAATTTATAATTTGATCCCACCGCCATGTTAGCTAAAGTTCGAAATTAAAATTAAAATGCGTTTTACCGATTCTTTCGCTGATCCAGTAAGAATGGTAAAAGAATTTTAATTATTCTTTTATTGTAAAAAAATCATCAACGTTAATTTTAGATTTTTTTTTTTTTTTTTTTTTTGAAATATTACCAATAGAAAACCAACTTTTCGCACGTAATTATGTTAATGACAACAATGGTTTGAACGAGACATACATGATGATTTGCCCTTAAAATGAACGTGTATTAGGCATTATTGGCGGGAAATGCATGATTTCATCACATGGATTCTATTGAACCATTTGCTAAATAAGGGCCCATTTATAACTATTCGCAAAAATCATGATTTATAAAATCCTGCAGTCATTTTTGCATAATCACGTGCTCGTCGATTATTTTATTTTAGCCTACCTAATTATTATAGGCTGCAGCGAAGTACATATGCTTCGTTACTTATGCGTTTTTATTTTGATCGAATATTCTATGGATCTCGACTCAATTTTTTGAGCGTCGGACATCATGCACGATCACGATTCCGATCCGGTCCAAATCTGATTCGATCCAACCGAGATCGCCCTTTTTTGACTTTTCTTGAGATCTTTTTTTCGATTTTTTTTTCTCTCTCTCTCTCTTTCTCTTACTTTCTTTCTCTCTTTCTTTCATCTTTCTTTCTTCTTTCTTTTTTTTTTTTCTTTTTTTTTTTTTTTTTACAATCTTTTGTTTAGTTTGAAAATAAGAAATGTTGTCAGAGTCGAACGGTCCTTTAAATGCAAGCAACAAGGCTCCTTCAACAGAGGGACGTGATCCTGCCTATTTTTCGTATTATGCCATGCTCCAGCATCAGGTGGTTTTCAAGAACTTAGTTCCAAACGCGTCTCAAAGAAAAAACTCCTGGTGGCTTTGTTAAACAGAGAGTTTTGTTTTAACAAACAGCAAAATATGCTTCAAGATACAGTACGAACTTCCACTTACCGCTCGGCAATACTTTTGAATGGTCCTGTATGCTTTCAAGACAAACTAGTCTTGGACGTTGGTGCTGGTTTGTATGCTATATAAATACAGTTTATTCTTTAATTAATGACAAAAATCGTTTTAATAATGTGTTTATTTTTGTTTAGGCTCAGGGATCCTATCATACTTTGCGGTTCAAGCTGGAGCGCGTAAAGTATTTGCAGTTGAAGCTTCAAATATGGCCGAGAAAATGCAAAAGGTTGTTGATGCTGCTAATTCTTCAGATGCCGAAGCCTTGGGAAAGAATGCTTTCTTAAAGGATAAGATTGAAGTCGTTCAGGGTATGTATAAATCGTATTTTGGGCGAAAACTTGTTTCGCTTAATTTTGATTTACAAATGGTTTCCAAATTAAGCTTTCGGCAAAAAATGAAAGTATCATTGTACGAAAGGGTTTCGCCCGAAGCACTAGTATTTTATAACTTGAGTATAAACTTTATGCTAATTCCTTTGAATTTGTTACAGCCAAGATTGAACAACCAAATCTTCCAATTCCGCAAGTCGACACGATTATTTCTGAACCTATAGGGGTTTTGTTGATTCATGAGAGAATGGTAAGATTATGGTGAGATAATATACTTAAGGATTCTTAACGCATGTTTAGAATCCTTGCTTATATTAATAATATATGCGTATACCGTATACGGTATACATGTATATTAAAACTTTTTATTTTTATTTTTGTAGTTCCTAGTAATTATTATTAACCTTATTTTGTAATAATCTTTTCATACATTAATAATAATTCAATTGTTTTTTTTTCGAAAGCTTGAAAGTTACCTTTATGCTCGAGATCATTATTTAAAACCTGGAGGTACCCTTTTTCCTTCAACTGGATCGATATTTCTTGCCCCTTTTACAGATGCTGCTTTGTGGAGTGAGACTATGAGTAAAGCGAGGTTTTGGGAACAACCATCTTTTTACGGTGTAGATTTAACTTCATTATATACCGATGCTAAAGATGAAATGTTTGGTAAGTTATAAAGTTGTTGTTTTTTTCTGTTTCTTCGCGACATTTGCTTTTAATGATAATAATTTTTTGTTTTTTTTTTTAAAAAAAAAAAAAAAAAGGAATGCCGGTCGTTGGAGGTTTCGATCCACGTACCTTAATTGCACCAGCTAACCCAGGAGGATTTATTATTGATTTCTATACAATAAAATTAGAAGAATTACAAGATTTTACAGTACCATTTATTTGGCAAGCATCATATACGGGAATTGTTCATGGTATAGCAGGATGGTTTGATTTACAATTTTCACCACCAGCCACGATACCAAATGGTAATCCAGTTACCATGACAACAAACCCATCGGCGGAGAGAACACACTGGCAACAAGTAAGATTTTTATTAAAGGAACCGTTAGCGGTTAACGCAGGACAAACTATACAAGGATGGATGAGATGTGTAGTAAATGAAATGAGATCATATACTATAGAAGCTGAAATATTATTAATAAATGATGGAACCGGTCAATTGTCAGATCCGTTGTCATCCCCATCACCTATACTTCACCTGGATTTTAATAGAAGAAGAAATAAATGGAAGTTACATGAACAAACCTACAATTATAATTATTATCCACAAACTGGTAATGATAACATTTTTAGACCTGAATATAATTGTTTATATGAACCCGAGCAACCTTTAGATGTTACGGTCGTTGTTGAAAATAATAATTTGTTGGATGATACTACTAATAATCAATTTGTCCTTTAATGGATCTTCACTTTAAGGGGTGAAAGAAGTTTGGGATATGAAGTGGGGTGAATAGATTATTTTATCGATATTATGCAATATTTTTTTTTCTTGAAACAAATATTATTTTTTATTTATACAGCATTCTTTTTTTTTTTTGATGAAATATAAAGATAAAAAAAAATTAATATATTATAAAGAATTAGATCAAAAAAGAATTACGATCACACAAAGCATATAAATAAAAGGTTCAAGAAACGTTACGAGATTTTCATTTATTTTTATTTTATCAATTTTTTTTTCAATTTGGGAAATTTATTGAACGTAACGATAATAAATACGTTATTATTATTTATAACCGCACAATATATTACGTCAAAACGAATTGCTTTACAAGATATTAAATTAAAAAATTAATCTTCATCCCAATTAGCATTTTGTTGAGGAGGTTTAGGTCCACCGGCAGGTTTACTCATAATAATCTAATGAATGAAAATGAATGAATGAATATTTATATAAATATTGACACTCCCTAAAAAGTGTACATTACGTACCTGATCAATTCTTAAAACGGTTAAAGCAGCATCGGTAGCGAATTTGATGGCCCAATGTTTGGTTAATAAACCGTCCAACACAGGATTAGGTAATTTAGTAACATCAACAATATCGTAATTCTCAATATCAACACCGATACGAACACCGGATTTATCTCCATCGGTTTCACATTCATTTGCTGGTTCGTGATGAGCTGAATAAAGTTTTGATAAAATTTCCGTTGTATCTAGACCAACATCTTCGGCTAGCGTACGTGGAAACACTTCGAGCGCTTGAGAGAATGCTTTAATTGAATGTTGATTTATACCAGGAGTTTTCTGAATAATCGAAAAAAAGAAGAGGAAAAAAAAAAAAAAAAATGAATGTTAAAAACCTCCCCCATTTTCTTATTTAGAAAAGATGCAAACATATTAAGATTTCCGAAATATACCTCTCCATAAGAAGTTAATTGTTTAGCTAATTCTATTTCAGTAGCACCAGCACCGGGAACAAGACGGGGATCCCTTGTAATAGCCTTGATATTATTAACCCCATCATCAATGGCACGTTCAACATCATCAAGAGTATTTTGAGTAGCACCACGAATAATGATAGTAGCAGTCCTTGAACTTTCATCCTCTGTATAAGAATGTAAAATAAAATTACGTCCTTTAACAACACCTTTGTCATCGAAAGAGAGATTAAGAAATTCCGTATTACTGTACTCACCTTGTCTGAAAACCGTCACTCTATCACCACCAATTTCAACAGTTTCAACAATATCACAATAACCCATTTCTTCGGCGGTAGGAACACCTAACCTAGCCAAAGCACTAGCACCGACAACTCTACATAATCTTCTTAAATCAAATTTGGATAAAACTTTTACCACCATAATATTATATCTATTTAAATAATGTAAAGCCAATTCACCGACAGAACTACCTGTTACCACTACTTTAATACCAGCATCCTCAAATTCTTTAAGAATTTTCTCAATTTGTTGCTCTTCACCTTTGGTGAAATTTAACATTTCATTTGCATTATGAATTAATACTGTACCTTTCGTTTCAGTTTGGGTTAAATCTAATGGACATGTGAATATCGCTATCTTTGATTTTGATGCTTGATTTACAATACCTTCAGGTTCCCTACCAAATACCATACCCTTTACTACCCTACTCTCATGAATATTACTACCCAAAATTTTAACTATACGTATGCTATCTACATTAAAATTTTGAGGATTTTTTGGCAAAACCAATAATGTTGCTTCAATAACTAAATCACTAAGTAAATCTTCATAACCATATTGTTTTGATGCAATCGATGTTTTAATTGATTTTTCTAATTCACCCTTTAATCTAATATCTTTTACACTATCAACCGATAAACCTATGATACAAATAATACGATTTAACACTAGGTCGCGTAACAATCAATCTAAATTTGGATGACTTTTGATTACCTTCTAAAATTTCTAAAGCTTTTACGCTTGCAAGTTCATAACCTTGAACAATTTCACTTGGATGAAGTCCCATCCTAAGAAGATATTCGGCCCTTTGAAGGAGTTCACCTGCAAAGATTATGACGAAATTTGTACCATCTCCAACCTGTTAAGAAGAAATAAATGAATAAATAATTAAGAAGTGATTTGACATCTTATGCAAGTTTAGAAATGATAAACACCTCTTGTTCCTGTTGTTGACTTGCCATTACCAATAATTTTGCCGCAGGGTGCACGACTTCTAATTCACGAATTATGGTAGCCGCATCATTTGTGACAAAAAGTTTTTCAAGATGATTGATGACCATCTTATTTCGTCCTATTAAATTGACGTTCATGATGATAATTTGTGTTAATTAAATTGACATGTAAATCTCAAGATTGACCTAATTAATTAAATTTTATGCACCATTTGGTCCAAAGGAAGTTCTAACAATTTCTGATAGTTCATGGATTGCTTGAATATTTTTCAGCACAGCTTCTTCAATACCTTGAAGGTTCTATTTTATTTCGATTAAATCATAACGTATTAAAAAAAGAGTAATGCTTCATACATTTTATGACGCGCAATCATTTCATTTCGTCAAACAATATCCTCATTAAAGAAAAGATAAAAGCCAGGATATCTCTTACAACTAGTTACTAAACAAGAAGCCATTTTTTTTTCAAGTTTATTCAAGTTAATAGTATAACACCGCATAAAACATACCTTGTAACCTTCTTTAAATAATTGAGGGTAACTACTCTTTGGAACTTTTAAAGCCATCTTTTTTTTTTATTAAGAAAAAACCTTTTGATCTATTTTTTCTTTTTTAAAAAAAAAAATAAATAAAAAAAACAAGTATGATGGTGATGTAATTTGATCATCCAATAAAAACAACCTAAAAATTTTTTTTTTTTGAAATTCGAACCATAAATACGAAGGGGGAAGGAAATCTTTGATTTTTTTGTTCATTTTTTTCTTTTTCTTTTTTTTTTTTTTTCCATTGAACCGTTTTTATCAATAGCAAATATGGCGCAAGGCGCACTTGCAAAAAAGTTTAAGGTTAATAATAATAATCGAAAACTTACAAAAACAAAATCAATTATTAATAAGTCAAATCGTAATAACCATAGAGTTAAACCAAAGAAAGGAGGTATTTTTTTTTTTATCAACCGATTCATTTGAAGATATGTTATTAAAGTTACGAAAATTTATGAATATTAAAAAAAATTTTTTCCCATTAGCAAAATCAATTGCACCAAAAAAACAATCATTGATAAAACAACAATCAATTCAAAAGGTAAACCTAACCTTAATTTAAACCTGGGTTTACCTTAAAAATGATTTATTGAATGAATTAAATAATTATTAGAAACTGACGGCTGCTATAAATAAAAATATTGAACAAGTAATCGCTTCTAGAGCTGAATCTGTTGGTGGCGGTCAAAAATTTAATATCGTAAAACTAATTAACGGTAACGATAATAAAGAAGGAAAAAATAAATCAAAAAAATAATTCTTAAATGATTATTTTCATCAATGAAATTTCCTTATTATTAACTGAAGCGAACTGTAATGACGAGCATCATTTACTAAGATATTTTGAATTAATAATTGGATAATAATTGACAAATGATCTATTATAATCAATTAATTAATTATTAACAATTATCACTAATTTTATAAATTAAAAAAAAAATTACTAATAAATTACTATCAAAAAAAAAAAAATTATATATATACATATACATAGATATATATATTATTAATATTATGTATAATTATAATTATTATTTAGCATGCTATTCTTATCTCATTCATCACAAAATGACCAGACTTTAATTATTCCCACATCTTCTATCTCATTGGATTGAGAATCACCTTTTTCTCTAGTTACTGAACCTGTCCATCCTGGTGGAGGATTTAATGTCCTTTTATTAAAGTCATTATTATTGACGCTTCCTCGTAAATTATCCTTTTTGGTGGTAGTTTTACCACCACAAACACTAACAATCCTTCCTTCATCAAATCCAACCCACTTTATTCCAAAATGATTATTTTCTCTTACATTATTTAAAGAATCGCTTAAAGTAACGATACATTCACCATGTTTCTTCCTCTTTGCGCTTATTCCAACTGTTGAAAATTCAGTATCCTGATAATGATGATGATTATGATCTTTGCTTTTTCGAACGTCATTATTTTTCATCAAATTCCATCCCAAATCCCATATCTTTATCGAATGATCCATAGATCCGGTTATTAACTTACCATGTTCATCTAAAGCAACGCTCATGACGCTTCCTGTATGACCATATAATGTACATTCATGTCTACACTCTAATTTTCTTCCTTGTTCCAACACGTGATAAACTTGTAAAGTATTATCAAAATGTGCCGTAATTAACTGACCGGAATTGTATGTGATTGTCGTAATGGGAGCAAAAGAAAATTGTTCAATATTCTCGGCGGAATTATCCTCCGCGAGAATTGGAATAAAGGATGGCAAAGAAGAACAATGTCGTGTTGAAATCAGCTGCGTAGATGAAAATTTTATTTCTTGAACGCCTACTGTCCAACCACCTCCGTATAAAGGAACAGAATAAGCAATCGTTGCCTTCCATACGTCCCGAGAGGAATAATTCATTAAGGATGATTGTGTGGAATCTTCAGTAATGGATTCCACAGATATTTCAATTGGCGCCCAACAAACAAAACTTCTTAATTGATGAACAAGTCTACAATCGACTTTCACTGCCGATTTATTACCTTCAATCGATGTATTAAATTGTACACTATCATTCTGTTTATAATCCATAAAATATATTGACAACTCAAAATCTTCGGTGCAAGTCACCAAAACTGGAAAATGTAAAGCACAAGCAATAAGCGGATTTTGCGCGCGTGACGCTGATTGCAAGGTATAGATTTCCCGGTGTCTCCATTTTCTTATGGTTCTATCATCATCAGTGCTTGACCTTTCCATTGAATCAAATTCCCAAATGGTAAAACCACCATTTGAATAACCGGCTACTATTTTATGCATTCCAGCATCGTCTTTCCCTTCATTGCTATCCAACTTCAAACAAGTGATAACAATTGGAAATTTAGATTTCTGCATGGTCTTATACAAGATCTCGCTACGCAGAGTATCTATATGTTCATTCTGTTTTCCAGCGCGCCAAAGATGCACTTCGGGAATGTTCTTAACACTGGAAAATGAAGCAGTTAAAATGACATGTCTGGTAAATTGAACAAGGGGGTTAGAATTAACGGGAGGGGTTGGATTGGTATGAAATGGTGTAAAAGAATCAGTAGGTTGAATCTTTGATGACCCTGCCATAGAGGAAAAATCTTGCATTTGATTTTCGTTAAGATCAACGTAAGGTTTGAAATCGATCACACGACAATTTCCTGTTTGCCAATTGTGACTGACTCTATATATGTTTTTCCAATCCTCTTCATCTGTCATATCATCACATGTTCTATCAGGTAAGATTTGAAATTTTGGAATGCTATTCATTTGTGATGGAATCATTTGAAGACTTTCAAGGCGATAAGTAAGATTGGGACGTTTAGGAGCTTTGAATCGGGACAAGAAAAGATCTTTCCATAACTTTTTTGCAATGCGAATTTAATAAATTTTTTATTGAGTCGAATCGGTCAATTTCAAATTATTAAACGACGACGAAAACTTACCTGACGATCATTAGCCAATCTCCACCATTTCCGAGAAACTCGTGTACAAATGCTCAAGTCAGCAGCTGTCAAATACCTAAAGACATGGAGGTTAAGTTCGTCAGAGAAAACTTTCACAAAATCTCGTTTATTCTCTTGAACTAAATTATTAAGAGAATCCCGAGTAACATGATTTCGTTTTGAACGTTTATAGGTGGATTCATTAGTAAACAGCTGAGTATTGTCAGCTTCCAGTGTTTTTAAAGACATGAAAATTCGAGCTTAGTTAAAATTGCTTACGTAATACTTTAAGGCAGAACATTTATATAAAAATTTTAACCAATCATTAATCGATCAAAAAAAAATTTTTTTTTTTTTTTGAAAATCTTATAATAACTTTTGATCTAGAATCGTGTTTCTCTCTTTTCCTTCGTTATTATATACCTTAGTCACCGCTGTCTTCATTGGTTTTATTATTTTTTTTAAAGAAAACAAATAAATAAAAAATAAGAAACCATGAGTTATGTCGCTAAGGGTAAAGATGAATATGTTGAAGATGCGCCTCAAGTATTTTAAATAACACCTTTTTTTTTTTTTTTTTTTAAAAAAAAAAAAAAAATTTAATCGATTAATTTCAAAATCTTTAGAAACATCGCATCCGTATTACTTTAACTTCTCGTAATGTTAAAGCTCTTGAAAAAGTTTGTTCTGACCTGATTGGAAGAGCGAATGAGAAACAATTAAATGTTAAAGGACCTGTACGTCTTCCTACTAAAGTTTTGAGAATTACCACTCGTAAATCACCCTGTGGTGAAGGTAGTAAAACTTGGGATAGATATGAAATGAGAATTCATAAACGTTTGATTGATTTGCTTTCTCCTAGTGAAATTGTGAAACAAATTGTAAGTGGAATTAATTATATAATATATATGTATATATGTATATATATACGTATCACTGAATGACTTTAATCATATTATATTTCTAGACTTCCATTTCAATCGAACCAGGTGTTGAAGTTGAAGTTACTATCGCTTCTTAAATTAAGAAAATTTTAAACTCTTGATTTTTTTTTTTCACGAGTATAATAAAAATGGATCATATTCAATTTTAATAAATTTAATTATTCGCTAGAATGCGATAAATTTTTAAGAATGGACGCATAATGGAAATTAGAACACATTTTCAAAGATAATTTAAATTATTTAATAAGCTTAAGATTGGCTCAGCCAATCGATCACGACATTTTTTATTTCAATCGCGGTTTTTCCACCATGTTGATTTTTTGAATATATAGCAGTTAAACGTTCCACCGCTAACGCATTCAAATCAGAAATCGTTTTCGATTCAAGATAAACGGAATTCGAAGTTGACGCATTTGAAATATTTGACAGATTTAGTAGACGAGACGTACACTGTAAAATAAATGAAAATTGAGAAAATTTATAAAAGTTTTATTTCATAAAAAAATTGACACAATTGAGATTATGATCAAATACCAATTTAATTCCACATAGCGCCCTAATATTATCTTCACATAATTCCAACACACGGCAAAATTGTTTTAAGGCAACAGGGATATTATCACTAGTGTATAAAACTTCAGCGTATTTAAGATGATAAAAATGATTTTGCGGTTGAAGTAAAATAAGTTCTTCAAGACAAAATCCTGCCTGTTGATATCTGTGAATAAACATGATAATATAAATATAAATACATAATTAACGTTATTTGAATCATTATTCTGATATTACTTACAAATGATAATTCAAATACAAGGCTGATAATTCAAGCCATGCCTCCGCGTCATTATAAACCGCATCAAGGTATCGCGTCAATGCATCAATTGCTTGACCATCCTGTCCCTTGGCTTTATATACCGCAATTCGACGTTTTGATGCTGCCTAAGTAGAACAAATCAAAAATCAGCTTATTTTTGTCTTTTAACCCTTTCTGAATATGCTCGTTACTTACTATATTTGCTTCATCTTCTTTTAGAATGTCTTCATATAAAGCTAAAGCGGAATCTAATTTATCATCAGCTTCTAATTTCATTCCTTCCAATATCTTTACGCGAGGCGATCCTGGGAATCTTTTATTTAAGTTCTCTAGACATTTCTTTCGATGTCATAAACAGCATTATTATTTTTTTACTTTTAAATAAACGAAAAATTGCTTTTCAAGTTAAATGTGAACACATTACAATGGTTAATTGATCATTTTCTAAATCAAGCGCAGCGATGAATATCTGTTCATATACCGACCAAACTAAATTAAATAAAACTATCGATTAATGGATAAAGTATCTATTAAAACTACAAACTAGAAACTCACAAACCTTCATCGCCAAGTTTACCCGTGTAACCTCGGTTAATCAGACTTTCGCCTAAAAAAACAACAAGTTCGGACTTTCTTTCTCCGCTCTTGCGCAATTCTTGAAGTGTCGTAACTGCCGTTTTATAGTCAAAAGACACCATCATAAATTTATTCAAACAAAAAAAGATAAAATTTGATAGGCAAAGATATTATGTCAATATTAATGATATAAAATCTAGTTAAACTAAAATAAGGCATGATACTTGATTTGTATCATATAGTATATATTTATTGAATTAATAATAATGATAATGAAAAATCAAAGATCTGATTTCTTTTTTTATTGTGTAAACTAATCAATGCAGGGAAAACTGATAACTAATATAAATTAACATGATTGATATTGAAATACTACACGTTTTATTTGGGATTATCAGTTTGTATTTGTATTAAATTATCAGATGGAATTTAATATTTACCAAAAAAAAAATAACGCAATCAATTACTTCTATCAAAAATTTTCATTTTTCGTCAGCCAAATAATAATAATAAAAAAAAATTTTTTTTTTTTGAATTTGTTTTCGAGCTTATGAATACGTTGTCCTTAGAAATGGAAGAAATATTAGACCATGAATATGAGGCTCTACCTAACTCTTCTTTGGCGGCAAACCTGATCGCTGGTGCTTTTGCTGGTATAGGTGAGCATACGGTCATGTATCCTGTAGATAGCATAAAGGTATGCATATACAAAGTTCAATAAATTTTTTGTTATTTTCAAAGAATTTGTATCGCATTCTTCATAATTTATTTATTTAAAATCATTATATGCTATTTAGACTAGGATGCAAATATTGAATCCAGGAAAACAGGCGATATATACGGGTGTCATAAATGCAATTTCTCGTATTTCCTCAACGGAAGGAGTGCGAACCTTGTGGAGAGGAGTCAATTCTGTAATATTGGGTGCGGGTCCAGCGCATGCCTTATATTTTGGAACTTATGAATTTTGCAAAGATTTATTTGGTGCGAATGCAACGCAAGGACACCATCCATTTGCGACCGGTAAGCGTCTTTCAAGATTTGTCCTATTAAAATTGTTCATTATTAACCATTATTAATTTAAATTTCTAGGAGCTGCAGGAGCATTCGCAACAATAGCAAGCGACGCATTAATGAATCCATTTGATGGTAAATATTTTTTATTTTTTAAAAAAAAAAGAAATATTTCAGTTACCAAAACCTAACCTAAATTTTCTCTCTTGCAGTTATCAAACAACGAATGCAAGTTCACGGATCAAAGTATCGTAATGTGCTTGAATGCGCACGATCGGTATATGCAAGAGAAGGGTTGATAGCCTTCTACATATCTTATCCTACTACGCTCACGATGACCATTCCCTTTCAAGTGGTTCAATTTAGTTCTTATGAATATTTTCGCAAGGTCTTAAATCCAAATGGACAATACGATCCAAAGACTCATGTTATAGCTGGAGGTCTTGCAGGTGCAATAGCCGCTGCCGCAACAACGCCTTTAGATGTTGCAAAGACCTTGTTACAGACACGGGGGAATTCCGATGATCTTCGTATTCGAAATTGTAATGGTCTTTTGGCATCCTTTCGATTGATTTACGAACGAAATGGTTTAAAGGGTTTTTTGAGAGGGTTGAGACCAAGAGTACTAACACATGTACCTTCAACTGCTATTTGTTGGTCGATGTATGAATACTTTAAGTGGTTCATTATGTCTCACGATCGAAATCAAATACCTGATAAGCTACATATTACGCAATAACTATTTGAAAAGAATCAGAACCTTAGGTCGTAATGGAGGGAACGAAAAAGGACATTGAATATTTGTCTTTTGTCGATAAAGACCAAGTACACGGTTTCAAAAAAAAAAATTTTTTTCCCTCGAAAAGACAATTAATAATTACTTCCCTAGTTTGATTTTTTTTTTGCGGGAAGTTATTATATTATTATTATTATTATTATTACTATTATTATTATTTTTTATTTTTATTATTATTATTATTATCAGCTTCTTTTGTACATTTTTTTATTGTACATTTTTTCAATATACAATTTAGTTTCTCGATTATTTTCTTTAATTTGTTTGGAGGAAAGATATATATGAAAGAACTATTGGATTTACAAAAAAAAAAAATAAAATAAAATAAATATTTTTTTTTAATGGGGAAGCATATTTATATTATTCCGATCTGTGAAATGATTTGATGATTTAAAAATCATTCGATTGATTTTTGACATTTCTTTGACGCGGGTATGTCGAAGATCTTCCATTTTACGAATTTTGTCGATCTATTTATTATGCGACACGAAACTTTGAATCTAATTCGTCCCACGTGAAGATAATCTACGTTGAAATAATAACACCTTACAAACTTTTTTTTTATGTTTGAAGAATTCAGTTGCCAATGGACGACACAGATGATAATAGCAATATTGGGGATGAACTTTCAGATTCTGATGTTGAAGTTAACGACATTTTGAATTTTGTGAGTGTCATTTTTTAAAAATTTATGGTTAAACGTGTAAACTTAAGTCATTAAAAAATTATTGCGTTATAATTAATTAATAAGCACACTGAAAAGGGAGCCATAAAAGATCCTCAGAGCGTAACCTTTAACATTACTGGTGAGGATCATACTTTGGGAAATGCTTTACGTTATATGATCATTCAAAAGTAGTATTTTATGCTATTGTTCTATTCAACTCGAGTAAACAAATCTTCATAACTAAATTTATATTTGTTGAAAAAAAGTCCTGAAGTAGAGTACTGTGGTTATTCTATCCCACACCCATCGGAAGATAAGCTTAACATAAGAATTCAAACAACAGGTAACAACAAATGATCATATTAATCACATTTCTATAAAAAAATTGACAATTTATTATTTTTCTTTAGAGAATACAACGGCAGTAGACGCATTGCGTAAAGGACTTGAAGATTTAAAAGCGTTGTGTGCAAAGGTGACCGAAATATTTTATAAAGCTAATAAAGATTTTGATGAGATTAATAATTTATCATAAGGACCCAAAAAAAGCAAAAGGACGTAACACTCAATGAATGTCCGTCTTTTTGTCTTTTTATTTTAATGTTTTGAAAAGTAAATATAGCTCATACTTTTCTTTTCGTGTATAAACGTTGTAAATAGTCTTTTACCTTTTAACAATATGCATATTATGGTTGCGGGAAATAAAAGATAAAAAAATACACCATGCAAAATCAATAAAGCATTATTAGTTTGGGCTTTATATGTATTTTTTTAACCTATGTGTGCCGTGCCATTCATGCGATTTTTCTGTTTATTCAACAAGTCTTTGATCCAAATAAATGCGCAGTACGATATCGGAAAAGTTCTTGCCCAATAAAAACGTTTTCAGCGACATCATATTTCAAAATTAAGTGACGATAATCTCAAGTAGGGATGGAATCAGTTCAAAGCAAATTATTTAAACCATTGTTTAAACCCAAACCGATATATGATAGTTTTATTCAGTTTAAGCCACAGTTTGATTGACCTGTACAAACCTAGTTTCTGATCAAATACTTTATTACAAGCTAATAGTAGACTTAATGGACCTATACGTATAAAACCTGCTTCACCCATCGCAAATTTGTAACCATTGTGATATTACATACCAAGCTTCAACATCTACCAGAACCTTAAAAACACATAGAAAAGATATTTATGAATCAAATACTTTAACGAAATTTAATCCATATAATCGACAAGAACAATTAGAATATAATAAATTCGTAATCAACTGGATAATTTTAAGCACGCAACCTTTTTCCATTTGTTGAAGAAGACTCGTTTTATTAAAATGATCGAAAAATTTGATCCACGCTATTGTATACCAAATTGGCACTATATCAAATCACATATTTTCAAATTTGGCAAGAAAGATTAAACTATAATATTCAAAAATTCAAGGAATGGTTATCCTAACAACTGACAAGTGCCTATAGAAGTAATCACGCCTTTTTAGGTGTAACTATTTATGGATAGATGATAATTGGCAAATACGTAAATTTTTATTGGATATTTATTACATCTCATTCTAGTATGAATATATCAGAAACTTTATTGAATTTGTTAATTAAATATAACCTTACTACAAAGGTTTTAACATTAACAACTAATAACAATTTTGCTATGATTGCATGTGATTGTAAAATAGGTGATGAATCAAACACGAAATTTAATAATTTACTATTAATGTGATGTTTACATATTTAATATTACTATACAATATGGTCTTCAAGTTTATAAAGTAATTAAAAAAGTTCAGAATTTTATAAATAAAATCAAAAGGTCTAATTTATTGACAGAAGAATTACAACATATATTTGAATCACAAAATCTTTTATATTTAGAACTATAAATAAATATTGATACACGTTAAAATTATACTTATTTAATGCTTAAAAGTTTTAAAATATTCAATTTCAAGCTAATATGCTTATTACATAATATCAAGATGATTTTATTGATATAATTTAATCAATAATGAATAGGTAAATATAATGTAAATATATAAATATTTTATTATTTTATTTAATATACTTACAAAATATTTAATAAGATTTTTTAATTTCTTATAAAAATTGATCTCAGTTTTGTCATTTATATATTATCTTATATTAGCTCTTTCATCATTATTTTTCAACTTTTAGATATTTTTATTTTATATTTTAAATCTTAAAATAACATTTGAAATATAAAATTACTAATAGCATAAACACAATACATGTTTGTTAATTCAATTCATTATAAATTTAGCAAGTATTATTTAAATATTAGTAATATCACCAAAATTATAGATAGATAATCTTTAAATTATAAAGAAATTAATATTCATATTTAGTTAAGAAATCTTATCAATCAATTTTAATCTATTGCATAACTCAATATAAATAATAAATTAGAACAATATCTAATTTTATTTATAGATAGTGAATGTAAACTGTTAGAATTATAAAAAGTACATAAAAATAATTAATAATTTTATTAGCTATTCAGCTATAAATATGCTATATAAGCAAATATTTTCAATTGCAAGACTTACAATTTCTAAATTGCATAATAGATTAGATCTAGATACAGCACAAGTATTATTATACTTAAAGAGTTAAATAATTGAAAAAGTTAGTAAAAATAATAATGATTTGAATAATATTTTATAAAGCTTAATAATTTTATCATATTATAATAATTTTATATTTATTATTGTTAATTTAATTTATTTTAATAATACTTCATAAGATTAAATGATAATTTTTATTATTAAATTATTTAAATAGTTTGAGATAGTTATTGATTTTAAATTTTTTCAGTTTATAATAAAAAAGGCTATTTAAAAATGCTATAAATTTTATTTATAGTTAATAAAGTTATAGTTTGACTGTTAGTTTAAAAATTATAATTAACTATTAACTTCTTAAATTGAAAGTTTGCTAAGCTGAAACTGACCAATTATTAAAAACTATCTCTAATCTTAAGTTAAAAATATATTAGACAAAATTAGCTAAAAAGTATAATTTAATATAGATTACAAAATACCTGAATTTTGAAATCAGAATATAATATTACATTTTCACTTTTTTATATATAATATTGTAAAGCATAATTATTATTACACATATAATAAAGTTTTGCTCATATTAGGCCTAGTGTTTTTTAATGGATAATTATGATTTCTTTATTATAAAGATATCTATATAAATAAATTTTTGATATATATACACTACCCTATCAAAAGTATCCGGTCAAGCTCTTTTTGATTATTTCGAGATCAGATATATTAATTAATATAAATTTTTTTTTTAAATAAATGCTTCAATTCTGACAAATAAAATTTATATATTTGTTTTTTATTATGATGTATACACCAAATTTGTCAATAAAAATAAAAACAATAATCAATTTTGCGTAGTAATGATCTTTAACTTTTTTACTGCACCTTCAAAGCATGAAAAAAAATCATGAATTAAATGAATTTGAGCGTAGAAAAATTATTAGACTTTGGATAGGAGGAAAGACTCATAAAGCCATTAGTCATATCTTAAAAATTCTAAAAAGTACTATTACAGACACAATTTCTCGATACAAAAATCTCAACAATAGATTAACAGCTAAAAGAATCAGAAAACTATGTTTTATGAATAATGATGATTGTTATAACCTTTCAAAAATTGTCAAAAAAACAATCGACTTTCTTTTGAAGAAATTCAATAAAAATTTAATAGTTCACAAGATAAAAAAATTTCAGCTATAACTATTCATAAAAACCTTCATCAAATAGGGATTAATTCACGAGTTTCTGCGTCAAAACTGCTACTTACTGAAGTCTAACGTAAAAAATAATTGTCATGATGTATAGAACGATAAGATTGGTCAGTTAGACAGTGAAAAACTGTCATCTGGAGTAATAAGTCCAGATTTACCCTTTTTCAAAATGATAGTCCTGTTCATGTTTGGCAAAAAGATAGAACCTGATACAATATTAAGAATTTAATACCAACGGTTAAACATAGTGGTGGAGGTGTTATAGTATGAGATGTTTTTCAGGAAAAAGATTAGAACCATTAGTAAAAGTAGATGTAAAATGAATAAATTTGGTTATATTGATATTTTAGAAAAAAATTTATTATCATTCATCTATTCTAAATATCATAAACAGCCTTATACATTTCAGGATGATAATGTTCCTATTCATACTACAAGGAATGTCAAAAATTAGATTATAAAGAAAAAGATTAAGATTCTTCCAGATTGGCCTTCTCAATCTTCAGACCTTAATCTTATTGAACATTTGTGGCATGAACTAGAACAAAGACTTCAAAAATGATCAGGATATCCAAAAAATTTATATAAACTCAAAAAAGCATTGCAAAAAGAATGAAAAAAAATTCCATCTAAAACTTATATTAATTTAATTAAAAGTATGTTACATCGGATAGAAGCATGTATTGAAAGTCAAGGATGGTCAACTAAATATTAAAAATTTATAATATTATAATAAAATATAATTTTTAAATTGATTAACCAGATACTTTTGATAGGGTAGTGTATATATAATTAAACCTATTTTTCTAATTAGCTAATCATCTCATTACAAAGGAATCTAAAGAGATCACATATAATACATATTTTTATGATACATTAAAAATAATTTAAATTGTTTAATATATAGTCATTATCAAAATAATTGCGATATAGATATTGCTTTTTATATAGATCACAACAACTCTAATATTTTAATTTAATTCATTATATATTAGATTAAATTAGATAATAGAATATTTATATAAAAATAACAATAAAAAAAGAAATTAAAACTCTTTAAACTTTTTCATTACTCATTAAAATCATAATACTATTAATATCTATTAAAATAAGTTGTAAAGTCGTAAAGTTCTTTTAGAATAGAAATATACAATATTTAGGATATTTTAAAAAAAAAATAAGAAAAATATTAAAAATATTAGTTGTATTAAAAAATTTTAAATTAAATGTTTTTTAATGAAAAAATAAGATAACTTGATAACTTTATATTATTTAACTATATGAATAACATATTTAATTGAATTCAAGCATGTATTGATATAAATGAAGAATACACTACATATAATTATCTAATAAAATTTATAAATATTGTTTTTGTTTTTGTTTTAAAAAAATTTATTTATATTTGATATTAAATTATATACAGTATATAAGGTTAAAAAAACTGTTTATTATTACTTTAACTAAGACTGTATATGCATACATCAGGAAGTTAAATATACATAAAATAATGCATTATATGTTGATTAATATCAAATTATGCTATTTAATTAAGACAATATAGAATAACACGTAAAAATATTAATGCTGATTAATATGTAAAATGGTATGTTTAGTAAATCAATATATATAACAACATTTAAATTTACATGTATAATGACATGTATTTATTAATTTTATTTTATATAAATACTATTAATATTATTAATAAATATTATTAATTAGTAAATATATTAT